CGGGTGTTTAAAAAAAAAAAAAAATTCAACCAAGGAAATTCTAAAGATCTTATTGGTTTTATTCAGCTGTTCATGAATCAGGCATCATTTCATTTAGCAGAAAGAAAAGAACTGTGGGGAACTGTACAAAATGAAAGGCTTCTATGGGCACAGTGAAGCAAGAACAAGGAAGTTATACTATGAAGAAGTGGATTGGTTGTGGCAAGGTCACTTTCCTTTAGGGGAAGGCAGGGGTCCATCTGTCACCAGATGACCTCACTAGTGCTGATCAGATGATACCTGATTGACTAGTTTGTGATTTTATTTCTGGAAGAACCAAAACTGTAAGTCTTAAGTTTCAGTTTAGTGTCATAGGACTTAGCATAAGTGACTTCATTTGGAGACTACTATCTCTCTTTTAACACGAACAGTGTCAGGAGACTGGCAAGGCAGGGATAGTGAATAACTGAGTTCCATCCACCTTCTTTTCATACTGTTGAAAAGGTCCATTTAGTCTGAGCTATGGTTTTTCCAGTAGTCATGTACGAATGTGAGAGTTGGACCACAGAGAAGGCTGAGTATCAAAGAATTAATGCTTGCGAACTGTGGTGCTGGAAAAGTTTCTTGAGAGTCCCTTGGACAGCAAAGAGAACAAACCAGTCAATCCTAAAGGAAATCAACCTTGAATGTTCATTGGAAGGATTGATGCTGAAACTGCAATACTTTGGCCACCTGATGCAGAGAACTGACTCATTGGAAAAGACCCTGATGCTGGGAAAGATTGAAGACAGGAAGAGAAGGGGATGACAGAGGATGAGATGGTTGGATGGCATTATTGACTCAATGGACATGAGTTCAAGCAAACTTTGAGAGATAGTAAAGGACAGGGAAGCCTGGCATGCTGCAGTCCATGGGGTCACAAAGAGCTGGACACAACTAAAGTGACTCAGCACACACGCATGAACACACACAGTCTTTTTTTGTCTTTCCAGTCCTTCCAACACTGTTGCAACCAACACCTGTATTGAGTTTCCTCTGTTTGAAATGTCAAGAGAAATTTGGGGTTCTTTCCCTAACTGAACCTGACTGGTACTCTTTACTTCCAACTACAGCAGAGAATGCTGTCCCCCAGCAGACAGTTCTGCCGAGCTATTCTAGGAAACATTCCTGAAGTCTCCGTTGAAAGATTCTCCTTCAGCCCTTCTTCTCAGTTATACAGGAGATACCAAATATCCTACACCTAAACTTTCCGCTTAGATGAGCCAGTGATTCCTATTCTCTGAACTAAACTAACCCTGACTGAAATGACAGGATTCTGGGATTCAAAGACTTAGTCATCTTTCTAATGCTCTGTCTCTAAAACATCTGTGCACCCATCTCACTGGCCGAGCATCAGACTGTGGAGCCACACATACATTCTGGTGACCAGAAATCCAGAATCTAAGAGAGTCTGCAAACTGCTGGTGAGGATACAGGGCAGACAGGTCTGGGGGTTTATGGGCCTCACTTTGTTGGGCATTTGTGATTATAATGATCAGTTACAAGAGTCGTTTGGAGGTGATTTCTTGATTTTACACACATTGGCAGTAAAAGGAAGTATGACAGATATGCACACAAGTTTTAGTCAGACACATCCTAGTGAATCCAGCTCCTCCATACATGGCTTGCAGTTCTCAGTTTTCTTGTTGGAGCGTGGGTAAAATATCAGTAACAGCTTTAGAAGATTCTTGTACAGAATTAGGTGAGATAACCTATGCATATTGGTAAAACACTTAGCCTGGTGACTGGCATATGGTAAGTAAGTATTCAATTTTTTAAAAATAGCTATTATTTTTAAAATTAATCAATTAATTTTAATTGGAGGATAATTACAATATTTTGATGGTTTTTGCCATGTATCAAAATGAATCAGCTGTAGGTATACATGTGTCTCCCCATCCTGAACCCCCCTCCAAACTCCCTCAAAAATAGCTAATATGTTCCTAATTTTTCAAAATGGTTTTGCTTGTAGGTATACCTTTTAAAAACATGGATGTGTAAATTCATGATTTAACCAACTCCACCAAACTTTGGCAAGATCGCCTGGGCCAGGGCTAAGGCCAGGGCCAGGCTGAGTCATTGAATGTTGTGCCTTTTCCTCCTGACATACAAACCCAGAGGTCTGCATTCAGGACTAAAGGAGAAAATGCCCAGTTATTTCTGTCAGCCACAGTGATGGTTGGTCATTCAGGAAAGAGCATGAAGGAACCTAAGTGTACTCTGGGTATGTTTCATCCGTAGATTTTTCCCAAAAGGCAAATGTGGTTACGGAAGAATGTAAAAGATTGCTGATGAATATGTTCCATTTTTTCAACAGAGGGCACATTTTGAGTTTGGGGACAATTTTCTAGGAAAGTCTCCATAAAACTAGTGCTGTTTCTGGGGCTATACCTCCCAGGAATCGTTTTTAGGAGAGATTCTGTGAAGAAAAATTTGAACACCAGAATGGTCAAAGGGCTGCCTGGCCCATTGTGTGGGAACTTTGTTTTCTATGTCATACACTGCTGATGGCCTACTCAGTGGTTGTTTCCTCTTCTCCTTGCTTACAGAATACAATTTTATTTGGACTATAACTTGTGATGAATCATGAACGAACTAAGTCAACTAGAGCAATCCTGTTCCCCATTGCCAACAATTGGTTTAGGGGTCTAGCCAATAGCACAAAAGTCAGGTGGAGGGTTCTAGGAAAAATCTTCCTTTCTGCTGCAGAAGAGTCACCCCATCCTTCCTGCTTTGGAACTTTTCATGTAAAGTTGTGATGCTTGGAGATGTTGCAGCCATGTTGCAACCATGAGGTCAAGAGAATCCCAGAGATGAACATGGAGAGCTCTGACATCATTGATCCACTGACCCCACCCGGAAAGTGACTACCTTCAGACTTTTTGCAAAGGAGATAATAATGAAGAGGCTAATTTATTATGCTGCTTTGATCCTGATTCCATCTATGTGCAGTTTGATGTTCTAGTCAGAAGATAAGTTAGTACAAGATCTAGTTGATAATTTCTGGTTAAGTGTTGAACTCAAATTTTCCTAATTTTACTCTTTGTACTGGTCTCTGTTTTATAATAAATGGCAAAGGAGTCTGACTCCATTTTCTGTCTCTTTGGAAGAAGGTCGAGCAGAATGTGACTGCTTTTGATCCTGGTTCATCTCCAGTTAACAAGTTTATTCACACAGTTGTGTAGGGACAACAGAGATTCCCATACTGAGAGTCTTCAGTTATGTTATTTTTAGTTGCTTGCAGACAGGGTCATGCTTGCTGCCATAACCTCAATAACTGGTTCTACCCAAAAAAACAAACCTGAAAACCAAACAATGTCACAAAAAATCCAAATGATATCTTAATGATGGTTATATATTTTTTCTTTATATTGGCTCTTTACAGTGCTTCTCTACCATCCTGTTTTTTTTTTTTAATTCTTGAAATCTGCTGCATGCTTGACATAAAAAATGTGTTTTGCTAGTCCTAGTGGCTAATTACTTGAAGTGGGAAGAAAAAAATCTCAAATACAGACTGATTAACAGTGTAAGCTTACAAGTTACCACCCACACATGGAGCCACACTTCTTCAATGAAAATATTTTGTAGAATTATATAAATTCACCAGGAAGCTTAAACTATATATTTTGGGAGAAAAGGAAGCAGGCTTCCTGTAGGAAGACCCTAGTTACCTCTATTTAGCCACTCCGAAAATCTTTTTGTATGTTGATAGCCTTGTCATATTTTAGAGTCAAGAATGGGCAGTGAAGCTGCTGGAAGTTTTGCTCAAATAACCTAAACTGGAAGTACATTTTTAGTAAGAAGTTTTAGAAAAAGTTATTATAAACTAACAATATTCCACAAAATAAAATACTTGCACAGATGTATGGAGAGAGTAGCATAGAAGCATATACACTACCATATGCAAAATAGATAGCAATGGAAGTTTGCTGTATGGCTCAGGGAACTCCTAAAGGGGCTCTGTAACAACCTGGAGGGGTGGGATGGGGTGGGAGGTGGGAGCGAGGTTTAAGAGGGGTGGGACTTAAATATGCCTCTGGCCAATTCATGTTGATGCTGGCAGAAATCAAACCAATATTGTAAAGCAGTTATCCATCAATTAAAAATAAATTAATTAAAAAATAATTTATACAAAGAATTGCAATAACATCTTGTAAACTTGTTAAGCCATTTTCCCTCCTTTTAAGAGATCTATCTTGTTCATTTTGAGTGTAAAAGTAACATATGCTCCATGACACAAACTCAAACTCCACATTCAGATGTTCAGATGTATAGTGTGGAAGTTTCCTGTCAGCTTAGCCTCCTACAGACCACAGCTACTATTTTGTGCACAGACTTCCCATTTCTTATGCATACATAATATATTTGTATAAATGGGATCTCACTCAGCATACTGTTTATAAACTGCTTTTGTCACTTAAAATATATATCCTGAACATCTTTCCAAGTCAAAAGTTACATACTTCATTTTTTAAAACAGATGCCTAACTGGCCAATGGGTACATATACTATACTTTATTTAACCAAATAAAGAAGAATTTTAAAACTTTTTAAAAACTCTTGTCAAAAAATCTATAGGGGACATTCTATGTACCTACATCCTTTTGTGCTTGTCTGATTATTTTTCTGAAGATATATTCTAAGAAGTGGAATGACTATTAAAAGTACTTTTTTTTTTTGTATTTTCAAAATTGTAATTAGGTATTACCAAATAAAGTAATAAACAACTCTTAATTTAGAGTGCAAAATAAAAGCACCTCGTTATTTACAAGGTGCAAAAGCAAGAAAATACAACATAAACTTATCCACATTTTTAAATAGTTGTCTGTGTGATGAGTAAATGCCATTTAAAAACACTTTCAATAGAAAAATGATTTTTAAACCAGTTTACAGAAGATCAAAAAAAATCAATGTTTAACACCAACTTTAACTATAAATAACTAAAAAGAAAATTATCCTCTCTTCTGTTTTTGCTTCAACATTTATGTCTTCTGCTCTTTGCCTTTTGGAGAAAACACTGCATTGTAAGGCTGCCGTCTTTCTGGATGAGGACAACGATCAAGGTCTTCTTTAATGTAACCTCTTTCCATACAAGTCTGAGTAGAAGGAAAACCAACTTCCCAGAAATTCTCTGGTGTGTTGGGTGGAATGGAGCGAAATCGGTGTCTTGAGCAGGAAGCCAACTTCTTTTCTCTTTCTTCTGCTGGAAAATCTGCATAATAAATTTCACATTCCTTACATGTGTGTCCAAGTAATTTTCTTCTCTCTTCTTTCTTCCGAAGCACCTCAATATGAGGAAAATTCTGTAATTCAGTCTCTCTATCATCACCTTTAAAATACGGCTCCACAAATGCTTTCTGTTTGACTTTATCTTGTTTATCACCAGGAGTGTTTGTTTTTTTTGTAGTAGTTGACAATTCCTTCTCTTCATCTGCTACCTGGGGGAAGCTCTCTGCCAAACAGGACTCATATTCTTTATGTGTCGTCCGATCAAACATGTCTTCCGAGCTATCATTCATCTTTCTTTCTCCCTTTGGACTCTCTTCTTCCTTCTGCTCTTGCTTCTTCAGTTTTAAGAGCATGGTTTCACTAACCAACGTACAGTCCATGTCCACTGTCTCTCCTGCTAACCTTGACTGACTGCCATCCTTTGTATCATCTACAGGAACATCCGCTTTATACTGAGAAAGGTCTGCTCCTCGATCTATACTCCACTGGATATTTTCAAAGGATACATCTTGGTTGTTTTGTAGAGGTTTTGTTTTAGCAATTCTACATGGATTTAACTGAAGAACTGATGCAACTTCACATGCTCCACGCATGGATCTGGTTTTTATCTTTATAGGCTCATGAGAACCAGCACCCTTTGTGTCATCAAAAAGATTCTCTGTCTCCAACCTTTCATGTGGACGAAGAGGGATTTTAAATACTGTGTTTTCTTCCTTTATTTGTAACAGTGTTTTATTATCTGGAGATTTACTCAAGGACTGGAAAAGGGACTCCTGTAAACAGGGCTCTTCTGGGGAGTCTTTGCTTAGCTCACAGCTCCTGCTCAAGGCCTTGCAGCTTGAGGAAGAGTCCCTTGGAATGGGCTTCAGAGCCTCATAGAGAGTCACTTGCCTAAATCTGATTTTAGAGTTCTCACTTCCTTGGCTCTTCTCTTGACGCTGGATAGCTGAAAATCGATCAGACAAATCCAGAGGTTTATCCATCACATAGTCTCCATTCATGGAAGAATGACTATCCAGTGGAAAAGGAAAAGCATTTTCTTTATCAAAGGAGGCTTGGGGACAGATTACTTCATCTTCACTTTCTTCCTCAATTTTCTTCCTTTTGGTTCTGCCTCCTAGTGACTTCAGGGGTACCACATGTTTATCTTTATCAGTATCTTTAATGTGATCAATACTATCCTGCTCACTTAGGGGTTCACTTGTATTTTTATTTATAAGCATCTGCTTATTAGAAGATGACTGATTAGGGATCTTGTTTACTTCAGTCCCAAGAAGATGATGTGTGATAAGGGCTCCATCTTCAGATTTTGATCTAGGTTTCTCTAGTCCAGAAGCACAAGTGTTGCTGAGGGGCACTGTTTTCAGATGGGTTTTTTTTTCCCAGTCTCTAAAAGAGAAGGGGACAAACTTGTATTCAAACCTAAACTACTTTTCACGTTAGAGGTAGCTCCAAATACAGGAGATGATACCCGAGTAGTCAATTCTTCTTGAAGAGAAGTCTTTGAATCTGAAAACCTTAAATTATCTTCACTATTTCTTCTACATCCCTCAAAACCTTGTTTTTTGTGATCTCCTTCCAGACAGTGATAGAGTTCATCACCAAGAGGGCTCCGAGGGCCTTGAGATTCAGATTCTTCTTGAACACAAAGTCCAAGTGTTTCAGCAACCACTGTAGCTAAACTATCAGGAGGATAACTGCTTTTTCCATGTGGTTTAGCCACTGGAGCTTGACTCTGATCACAAGTGTCAGCCACTAGAATTTCACTTTCCTTAGGCTTATGTTGTGGATGAGCTGAAGACTTTGGTACTTTTCCCAATTCATGTGCACAGCCAGTGTTCCAGTTTAGCATGTGTTTGCTCTACATATCGGACGCGGAGGTTCTCCTTTCTTCGTAGCCGATTAGTGCCAGAAAATGAAAAGGTTGTTATTGGTGAATCTGGAATAACATCTTCCTCGGATTCAAGATCAGTTGCTTTATGTGGCTGATCATTCTCAATTTTCTGCTGTAGCTGTTCAGAAAGCTTTTTATTTTCTTCCTGCAGCCTGTTCTTTTCATTCATAAGCTCTGTGATAAGTTTAAGATTCTGCTGCCGAATACTCTCAAACTCTTGTTGCTTCTTCCGCATATGTTCTTCAGTTACTGCACAGCGATCACACAATCCTGCTCTTAATCGATCTTCTAACACTTTAATGGTTTCATGAAGGACTTTCTGTTGCTCTCTCAGCTGTTGATTTTTTGGTGAAGAATTCTTCTAGTCTTTGTGCATCTAAAATTCGTTCCTTTTTCAGTTTGGTTACTTTCACTTGTAAACCTTGTACTTCCTTATCATGATACTCCTTCAGTTTTGTCCAAAGATCCTTGAAATCATTAGATACATCTGCAGAACTAGGACTTCCACAACTGCTTCCTGAGAGGTTCATCTTGCTTAATATGCTCCACGCTTCTATTGGTTAATGTTTCCTGACCTTTTCTGTTACATTATATAGGTCTGAAGCTGCCTTTGGCCAGTTTAAATACAGCTTACAAGACGGTCTCGAGATTCTCCAAAGCCCCCAGCTGGGAAGCAGGCACGCTCTGAGACTGGAGAGTCTGAGACGGCCGTTTGCTTTTCTCCTCGCTCCCTCACTAACCTACCAAACTGGCGGCGGCCAAGCAGCCCCCTCGGGGCAGCCCGCGCTTTCACGGGCTGGGGGAGGGCCCGAGGGCTGCCAGCCCCCTAAAAGTACTTTAAAATTTTACTACACATCAGCAGATTTCTCTTATATTGATTTGCTCCCTTATATACCGTGAATGAGAGGACCCTCTCCCCAATATCCTTGCTATTCCAAGTAACAATCATTGGAATACTTGTTAATCTGCAAGATAACATCATTGATGTTTTGTTCTGTGTTTAACTGATGACTAGTGAGGCTGGACACCTTTTTCTTGGCTTATTGCCCACTTGTATCTCATACTTTGTTAATTGCTTGAGCATATACTTTGCCTACTGTCAACAGGAGAAGTTAATGTTTTACATGGAAGAGTTTTTATATAGTAAGAGCACCAGTGGTTTGTATTTGTAGAAGTTACTTGCTTATTGAAGGACTCTTTATCCAGCTTATTGAGGGTTAGTTTCTCACGTAGCTCCAGTCTTCTTGGAAAGAACATAATGAGTTGGGTGGTACCTCCTCTTTGATTCTGTGGTACTTTGGATATGTATCCACTAGAACGCTTGCACCTAGTAGGCAGAGTTTCAGGAACTGACTCCTTCATTAAACCTGTAGCTCATGGGAGGCAGGGAGAGTTCTTGTTTCTCTTCGTGCCTTGGAGCCAAAGGTGACACTCCTAGAAAGTGGCCACTAAAATGGTAGCAAAAGCAAACCCAGCTGGCTTTCTTTTTTCTCTTTCTTCCAAAACGCACGCCAGGCTGGATCCGTGGAAGATTAAGACATACAATCTTGCTCTCTTCATCCCAGTGTTGAATACTAATGGTATGCCAGCATTATTCCAAAAGCAGCTCCCTGGAAGGGAAGCACCGGACTCCCCTGGTCAAAACACTGGACTCCTCTGCTGTTTTCCAAGTCAAGGAAAAGGGGTTGGTCCCCAAATTTGGAAAGTGAAGACCAAAACGTTAAAGCCACTGTCTCCATATATAATGCTGTATATGAATGGAGAAAATGAAAGCAAATGACCCATGCTGGGAAGAATTAGCATTGCAATGCCTCAAAAATGATAGATTCAGAAAGGACCATTCTATATTTTGAAACGCAATTAGATGTTTACTTATTTATTTCTAGCTGCAAATGTATCTCATTTTTTAGATTAGTTTTGTAGCTTATTCTCTTTTTAGTGATCATGTTGATAACTGAAATTTCTGAAGAGCTGTTGCTAAGCGATGTAACTTGAAGCATGTAATGAAGCTTTCCTGTGACTACTTAAATGTAAAAAAGTACTATCTTAAGTTTACTACTTCATTATCAATCTAGTTTTCATGTTTGTATGATCGTGTCTTCTCCCCTTACCTAATTAAAAAAAAAGTCATCTAAAACTGATCTAATAATCTAACAGAAGACCAAGGGAGAAATCTTTTTCAGAAAAAAATGCTTAGAGTGACAAAGAGACATGACTTGAGTATTCAACATTGGGTTAGGTGGCATTATCTGGGTAACTCTGAGGATGTCCCTCTCTCTTTGTGAGCCTAAGACTTTATTGCAAGTTCCAGCCAATGTTACAAGATGTAAAAGACACAGAGTATAAGCATTAGAAAAAGACATTTTCTGTATAAAGTGAGCATGTGCATGCTCAGTCACTCATTCGTGTCCAACCCTTTGTGACCCCACTGGACCGTAACCTGCCGGGCTCCTCTATCCACGGAATTTTCCAGGCAAGAATACTGGGGTGGGTTGCCATTTCCTACTTCAGGGGATCTTTCCAGCCAAGGGGTCAAACTGGCATCTCTTATGTCTCCTGCACTGGCAGGTGGATTTTTTTTTTTTTTAACCACTGGTGCTACCGTATAAGTTGTACTCTATTATAAATTTGAAAATCCAAATGATTTTAAAGACAAATTATTAGATATAATGAAATAGTTCAGCAAATTTGCTAGTAAAAGATTAACATACAAAAATAATTTATATTGCCATATCAGCAATAAGCAAATAAGAATAGAAATAGGAAAAAAAATGTCAATCTAAGAGCAACAGAAAAATATGTGCAATTCATCCATGGAGAATATTAAAATGTGTTACTGAAGGACATAAGGAAAAAACTGAACAGATAGAGGTATATACTCTGTTAATAGATGGAAAGACTTGGTATTGTAGTTTATGTTATTTCTTTCCTGACAAAACTTACAAACTCAATAACATTCCAATAAAATCCCAGTAGAGTTTTTTATGAAATTTGACAAACTGATCCTGAAATTCATATGAAAAAGGCTAAGAGGCCTTTTGTATAAAGGGGCAAGAGAAGCTAAGACAATTTTCAAGAAAGCAAGAAGGAGAGGCTTGCCATTCAGATATAAGGACAAACTATAAAGGTAGGGTACACAAGGTGGTGCTTTTTTCCAGAGATAAACAAAAAGATTAATGGAACAGATTGGTAGAAAATAGAGCTCAGCAAAAGCCCACACTCATATGAGCACTTGATACATGACAGGGATACCATCATAAATCAGCAGAGAAAGGATGGGTCTTATTAAATAATGTCTGTATAATATAATAATGCTAGATAAAGTGAAAGATAAATCCAGGAAGATTAGACAAATCTGAAGGACAGAATTTTAAAACTATTAGAAGAGAAAATAGATAAATATCTTTATAATCTCTGTATAGGGAAGGGTCTCGTAAATGCAAAGACATGATTGAAGGCAGGAGGAGAAGAGGGTGACAGAGAATGAGACAGTTGGATGGCATCACCTACTCAATGGACCTAAGTGTGAGCAAACTTCAGGACAGAGAGGACAGGGAAGCCTGAAGCGCTGCAGTCCATGGGGTCACAAAGAGTACGACACGACTTAGCGACTGAACAAAAGACTTGAAAAGCACGAACAAAAAGGCTGATAAATTTAATTATATTAGCATTGTAAAGCTTTTTCATTATAAAAGGTATTTAAAGGGCTCAATTACAATCTGCAGACTGGAAAGATCTTTGAAATAAATATAGTTGGCAAATAATTCATTCTAGGATACATATAAAACACCAATGAATCAATAAGCAAAAGGCAAACAACCCAACATAAAAATGGGCAAAAGAAATGTGTGAATAGCCAATCACTGGCCAAAGAAAACACCTCACTGGCCTGTGAACACATGGAAAACCACTCACTTTCTAGTGAGGGACTTGAAAAAAAAACAATAGTCAAATAATATCTTAAACACCTAAGACTGGCAAAAATGGAAATGCTTAATATAGCAAATTCTGCAAATCTTTGGAGAAATAAGAACTCTTTTCCAGGACCTTTGCAGTATAGGGGAGGAGAGCTTAGTATTTAAAACGGTGGACTTTCGAGGAAGCCTGTCTCCTTCACTGGCTGTGTGACATGGTCAAGTTATTTCAAATATCCATATCTCAGCTGCTTCATCTGTGAACCACAAATGACAGTAATAGCCAAATGTAAAGAGAGCTTACTTATATCAAACCAGGCCTTGTTCTAAGGGACCTCACTGAGTTTTTGTGAAGATTAAATGAAAATCTTTAAATAGTTCCTTCTCCAGTGTTAATACTATATAAGTGCTAGGCACTATTTTTTAAGTGTTAGGCATTTTTATTTGTTAATATCTAAAGTAAAACTAAGATTAAACTAAAGATGTCAATATCTAAAGTAAACAGTCATTCATATACTTCAATCTGATGACTGCATTTTGAAGTGCAAATTCTTGAGAAACTCTTGTACGTGTTCTCAGGGGGCCTATATAATATTATTGCAGTATTGTTTATTACAGCAAAAATTATCCAAATGAATAGGAGGAAAACAGATAAGTAAATTGGGTGTGTTCATTCAATCTTAAAAGAATTACATGTAACAGCATGGGAAAATGTCAAACACATTAATTGAAAATCAACATGCATTTTGATAAACCTATACATTAAGATACCATTTGTTTAAAGTTTAAATCCATGCAAAACATTATGATGTGTTTATGGACAAATATAAATGGTGCAAACTTATACAAACAGGTGTGGAGGACATTATCAACTTCAAGATGATGGTTACGTGCAGGTGAGAGAAGGGCATCCAGAATCAGGAGAATAAAGGATCCGGGTGGATGGGAACTCAGTCGTATTGTGGCCGCATCATCTGGACCACACAGCTCTCTGTTGCTGCTGAAGCAGACAGACAAGACAAGAGAAACACCAGTGGGCTTTCTACCACCTCAGCCCAGAAATGGCACAGATGGTTTCTGCTCACATTTCACTGGCTAGAACCAGTCATGTGACCCCACCGACCTGTGGAAAAACTGGGAAAGTCTTGCTTGTGGTGAACACTTGTGATGTTCCCCACACTTGGCCAGTGGACTAAATGTAGCCAGAGCATATACTAAACTTCAGAATAAATAGCTTCATATTGTCCTTTTTTCTCCCCTCTTGATCTGAACCTCTCCAGTAGTTCAGTTTACTTGGATCCCTCAATTGTTTGGTCTTCAATGACTAGATCAAATGCCTTGAATACCTTTATAGAGATCAGCTGTTCCTTTCACCAAATC